TCAACAAGGAAAGAGAAGACTTTAGTGATCATCTGGCAGCTGAGATATCAGGAGTTAGTTTGGGATATTTTGAATTGAGATGCTTATTAGATACCCTCGTAGATGGAGATAGGAATCAGAGTTCTGGAGGAAAATCTGGGTGCAGATAAAAATTGGGGAGTCACCAGTGTGTAGGTGAGATTTAAAGCCAGGAGAATCAATGAGGTCATTAAGTAGTATGGACAGTGAAGAGAAAGACAACAGAACTGAACCAAGAACTGTATTTCTAAAGGTCCTTTCAATTATAACATTCCTTATAATAAAGAGATTGGTGTTAGAGATAGCCATTGATTGATAAAGAGATAGCCATGTAGATTTCCCCTGTCCCTGACATCAACATCTACTAATTCCTTATATTCAATTCCTCCACTACTGTGGCCTTATGCTCACTGTTTCAGCCTTCTGCATGGGTATTGTTATCCAACAAACACTGATAGGCATGACCTGAATTGTGAGCAGGTGATTCTGTAGGTGCCATTTATCACTCATTCTGTATAAACTCTTTAAAATATATATTGATTTCAGAGAGGAGAGGAGGGGAGAGGGAGAGAGAGATAGAAACATCAATAATGAGAGAGAATCATTGATCAGCTGCCTCCTGCATGCCCCCTGCTGGGGACTGAGCCTGTAACCCTCGCATGTATACTGACTGGGAATCGAACCTTGACCTCCTGGTTCATAGGTCAATGCTCAATCACTAAGCCACACTTCCCAGGCAGTATAAACTCTTGCAGCATAGTAAAAAGTCACTTACTGATACCTTTTGAATTCCAGGGAAAGATGAATATCCCTTAGTAAAGAACACAGGCTTGAATAGCTGATTCTGAATGATGGCTTCTTCGTGTCCAGGGACAGTAGATCAGTTTCAAATACTTCTGAACCTCAGAAATCAGTATTTGGAAGACTTATTTGTAGGGGTAAAAAGAATTGCTAAAATGGTCCTCTACTGAAAACATAGCTAAAAATTCAATTGTTAGCAGACATTCCTAGATTACACAATGTTTCCTAACAGTCATTCAGTCCTCTACGAAGTCTTTGCATTTACAATATCAGAAAAGCATGTAAAACACTATCATCCACATTTTACAAAAGAGAAAACTGGGATTTGAAAAAATTAAATGATTTTTTCAAGGGTTTCCTAAGTAGCACAATCAGAGCAGAGATCCAGTACATACATAGGTTTTGAAGACTCACTTACAAACCAAAGTTTGAGTTCTGGCTTGTGTAAGATGACAAAAGTCACTCTTTTTATGTAACCAGTGAACCAACATGTGAACATAACTTTACTCCTGGAATAATATCTGATCACGATAAAATTTATCATGAATCAATTCATAATTTATGACATGAGATGTCAACTGTCAACTTTCTTTATTCCTGTATTTATGTCTTTTTAGTTTGAGAGTAAGTAGTTTTGGAAACACTGATATCTTAATCTTCTTTAATACAATTAGAATACTATAGGCATTCTGAGAAACGATTTAGAATGAATATTATAGGAATTCTGCTTGAAAAGCTTGCAGGAACAATTATTAGCCACCCTACTATGCTCCAGAAGATCACAGTCATCTGATATTGGGTCTCTAAAATACCTCCATGACCTGAGACCATACCACTATCCAAGACTGTCCAAAGGACCATGCAGACTCCAAGCAAATAAAATCCTTTGAAGTTATACAATGCACAGCCCACACAACTGTATGCTAACAACCCTATATTTCCAGTTGTTACTATAATTCAGACCACCATATATACATTTTAAAAAATTTTTTGAGATATAATTGACATATTATATTAATTTCTTGTGTACAATGTAATGATTTTATATTTGTATATATTACAAAACAGTCACCAAAATAAGTCTACTTATCATCCATCACTATAACATAGTTACAAAATTTTTTTACTAAAGACTTTTGGTTTGCTATTTTAGTGACTTCTAATATACAATACAGTCTTATTAACTACTAGAGGCCTGGTGCACAGATTTGTGCACATTGAAAAGAAATTAATTAGAAGGTGGCCCGTGGGGCAGAACCAGGCGAGATGGGCCAGACACACCCTGGAGCCAACCTCCCATGGTCCCTCCCTGGCTGGCTGCACCTGGGATGGTGCTCAAAGGGCATCTGCAGAGTGAGCAGGGTCCCTCTGGCAGGTGGGATCCCTCATCCTGGCTTGTGGGGATCGGGCTCCTTCCTCTCTATTTCCAAGGTGCATCACCTGAGAACTGCCACTGCCGAGTCACTGCAGCGCGGTAACTCTTGCATTGAGCATTTGCCCCCTGGTGGTCAGTGCATGTCATACCTACCAACTGGTCAGTCAATGGTCACTTAGCCTTTTATATATATAGTCACCAAGCTATGCATTTTATTACCATGACTTATTAATAACTACATGTTTGTAACTTTTGACCCCCTTCACCCATTGAGCCACCTTTACCACCCAAAAGCATCTGAAAACTACCAATTTATTTTCTGTACCTATGAGCTCAGTTTTTGTTGTTGTTTTTTCTTTTTTTGTTCCACATATAAGTGTGATTGTACCATATTTGTCCTTCTCTGATTTATTTTAGGCATAATGCCCTCGAGGTCCATCCATGTTGTTAGAAATGGCAGGATTTCCTTCTTTTTAGTGGCTTCATAATATTCCACTGTTTATATATACCACATTGCCTTTATCCATTCATCCATGTATGGACACTTAGGTTGCTTCCATGTCTTGGCCACTGTAAATAATGATGCAATAAATATAGGGGTACATATATCTTTTCAAATAAGTGTTTTTATTTACTTCTAATAAATAACCAGTAGTGGAATTTCTCTATCAAATGTTAATTCTATTCTTAAGTTTTTTCAGGAACCTCCACACTGCTTTTCATAGTGGCTGCACCAACTTACATTTCAACCAACAGTGCACAAGGGTTCCCTTTTCTCCACATCCTTGCCAACACTTATTATTTCTTATCTTTTTTATGACAGTCATTCTTATAGGGGTGAGGTAATGCCTCTTTGTGGTCCTACTTTACATTTCCCTGATGATAATGATATTGAGCAACTTTTTATGTACCAGGTGGCCTTTTGTATGTATTCTTTTGAAACATGTCTCTTCAGATCCTCTGCCTATTTTCCAACTAGTTTGTTTTTTGTTTCTTTGTTTGGGTTTGTTATTATTTTTTTGCTATTACCTTTGCTTTTTGATGTAAAAAAAAAATCATTGCCAAGACCAATGTCAGAGAGCTTATGTTTTCTTCTAGGAGTTCTATAGTTTCAGGTCTTTAATGCATTTTGAGTTAGTTTTTGTATATAGTGTAAGATAGTGGTTGAGTATCATTCTTTCATATGGATATGCCCAGTTTTCCCAACACCATTCTTTTAAATTAAAACAAAAGTACTTTTTCAATCCTTACCCGAGGACATTTTTAGGGAGAGAGAGAGAAATATCAATATGAGAAACAGTGATCAGTTGCCTTCTGTACATGCCTTGGCCCCTGACCTGGGATTGAACAAACCAACAACCTTTTGGTGCACAGGACAATGCTTAACCAACTGAGCCACTCCCGGTGGGCCACAACACCAATTATTGAAAAGATTGTCCTTGCACAAGTGTATATTCTTGGCTCCTAGTCTTAAATTAATTGATAATATATGTGCAGGTTTATTTCTGGACTTCTGATTCTTTACCATTGAACTATGTGTCTGCTTTTATGCCAATACCATACTTTTTTAAATTTTTTTCTTTGTGTCTATGTGTCCTTATCTCCCCATTCTCACTTCCACCCCACCCTGCACTGCTGGGGTCCAGCCCCAGCAGGTCCAGGGGTCCCCAAAAGTGTGGACGGAGTCGGTGAAGAAGGAATGACACGGAGACAGCGTTCAGTTGATCAGCAGCCTTGCCAGGATCTCTAGCCACAATCTCCAGCCAAGTTCTGTTTAGGATCTCCAGCGAAGTTCTGGTTAGGATCTCCAGCCAGGTTCTGTGTCCATGTTCTCTTGCTAGGTTCTCCAGGTTCTCCAGCCACGTTCTGTAGCCATGTTCTCTTGCTAGGTTCTCCAGCCAGGTTCGGTTTAGGTTCTCCAGCCAGGTTCGGTCGCCAGGTTCTGTAGCCGGGTTCTTCAGCCAGGTTCTGTCAAGGTTTGTAGCCAGGTTCTATCCAGGATCTTTTCAGCCAGTTTCTCCCTAGGTTCTGTCTCTAGGTTCTGTTGCCAGGTTCTGTCCAGGATCTTTTGCCATTTCTGTCTCTAGGTTCTGTCTCTAGGTTCTGTTGCCAGTTTCTGTCCAGGATCTTTTGCCATTTCTGTCTCTAGGTTCTGTGTCTAGGTTCTGTTGCCAGTTTCTGTCCAGGATCTTTTGCCATGTTCTGTCTCTAGGTTCTGTCCAATACCGTACGTTTTTATTACTACTGCTATGTAGTATAGTTTGAAATCAGGAAGCGTGATGATTCCAGCTTTGTTCTTTAAAATTGCTTTGGCTATTCAGGATCTTTTGTGTTTTCACAAAAATTTTAGGATTAATTGTTCTATTTCTGTGCAAAAAACTGGCATTTTTCATAGGGATTGAATTGAATCTGTATATTGTATTGGCTAGTATGAACATTTTAACACTATTGATTCTTCTAATCCATGAGCAAGGAATAGCTTTCCATTTATTTCTACCATTTAGATTTCTTTAATCAATGTCTTATACTTTAAGTGTACAGAAATTTCACCTCCTTGGTTAAAATTATTCCTAGGCATTTTATTCTTTTTGATGCAACTATAAATGGGATTATCTTAATTGCTCTTTCTGATAGCTCATTATTAGTGTATGTAAATAAAACATATACTTTATGTTGATTTTGTATCCTATAACTTTACTGAATACATTTATGAGTTCCAACAAGTTTTTTGTGGGTTGTTTTTTGTTTTTTGGGTTTTCTTGGTGTATTCTTTAGGCTCTCATATATAATTTCATGCCATCTCCAAATAGTGATAGTTTTATTTCTGCCTTTCTGATTTTGATGTCTTTTATTTCTTTTTCTGACCTAACTTCTCTGGCTAGGACTTCCAATGCTGTGGCAAGAGTGGGCATCCTTGTCTTGTTCCTAACCTTAGAGCAGCGGTTCTCAACCTGTGGGTCGCGACCCCTTTGGCGGTTGAAAGACCCTTTCATAGGGGTTGCCTAAGACCATCCTGCATATCAGATATTTACATTACAATTCATAACAGTAGCAACATTACAGTTATGAAGTAGCAATGAAAATAATTTTATGGTTGGGTCACAACATGAGAAACTGTATTTAAAGGGCCAGAAGGTTGAGACCCACTGTCCTAGAGGAAGCAAATGGATGCCTCTTGGGTGAGGGGAGCCAC